ATATACACTGTTAACAAAATAAGCAACATCACCATCGTGATGACGAAACAATCTATACAATACTATTATCAGACAATATTTTATCGTAAAATTTTGTCGATCTAGAATGTTTTTTTTTCTTTAACCTTATACTACATATTAAATTGTGGTAGTATAAAAATAAGTAAGAATAATATATAGTTTTTTACACAAAATATCTTGGAGATAGTTTGTATGAGTATTAGAGAATGACAATTCACGATAGATGCTGTTTTCATACATGAATCCGCATTTTCTACCATCATGAGACCCTACAATGGTACATAGTCATGAATCTCAAACATAGATATGATTGGTTTCATTTTGAGAATAGTCAAAATTAATTTTGTGGTAGAATTCAGTTTGATATAATATATATTAGATGTTAGTATAACTGATTTGGCTTCAAAAATCCGTTTCTGTATACACATTGAGTTAGAATCTATGATCTGAATTTTTTAGGTAGGTTAGCGATTGGATTCACCAGAATTAGGGCTCAGAGAAAGTGAAAAGAAGCATTTATAAATTATTCATGAAACAACAAAAATTAAAACGACGGTTGAGTGAACTAACTTCTAAACAATTATATATATAGTATTAACAATTAATTTATGCATTATGGAGTAGCTTGTTTAATTAATTTTATACTATATTAAAATTTAATTAGATTATCATTCTAATTGGGTGGTTGACAACAATTAGGCGTGACACAATATATTTATAAAAGTAAAAAATATTTTCTAAATATCTCATTTTGTACACATTTTTTAATAATAAAGAAAAAAGTTGATAGAAGAGTTAGACAACATGAAAAGAAAAGGAGGATAAATCAACAATCTGATCTATCTTGTAATCTTGTGTGCCTCAAATTTAAGGAGAGAAAGAAAATTGGAGATAGATTGACACGACCATCTGCACAAAACAAAATTAAGGTAACTGGTCATTGTATGCACCCTTAAATATCTTCATTTGAACAGGTCCCTTTCTAGTCTAACAGAGAAACGATAAAATCTGGAGCATGGGCATGTACTCAATTTTACACCAGATTGATAATTATAGACATCTAATGACTAACCTTCAAACTTTTCTAACAAAAAATAACTTTATTTCAAATTTTTTAAACAGTTTAAATCATAAAATTCTATATCGAGACTAGGCCTAAAGACGCATGTTTTCCTTGACCCAAACCCTGAAACAACTCAAATATCCATAAAATCGAATCGGCAGTGGCCTAAGTCGCCCCCGCTACATAAAAATTGTATACCACCTATCTAAAGCAACCTTACATAAGACAAAAAGAAGAGCAACCGACTACATTTTTCCTATAGAAAATGCACACCACATTACTATAACCAAACACAATCTAACGTCTCATGATATTCTGCTTAGTTGACAATATATTTTAAAACAACGGTTAAGAGAACACTACAACTTTAGAAGCCACCTAACTCTTCCAAATCGTAGCATGCCCCGTACCACCCTCTCTGACATACATTCCATAAAACCAGCTAAATCCAAAATATTATCATAAGTAAATCTCACTGAAAAACCTCTAGTTTGATCTGGTTTTCAAACCTAAGCATCTTCTCGACAAAACTTGATCACTACCAAAATGACATCGAGTAAAGCCTCAAAAAGTTCCTCCCAAACTGGAAAAGTCCACCACCACCTAAAACTCCAAACCCAAACATCCTTTTCCTAAGCACCAAAAGATCCCACCATTTGAGACTCTTGATTCAAGATTAAAAATAGCTTCTCAAAGAAGAAGTGCATAAGGATTGACCCAACCTAGACATCATGCCAAAGCATAGTTTTATACCTGTCACCAACCACCTTAACGCAAAAGAAGCAAACTAGCTAGTTTCCCTTATTAATATAAGACCCAAGGATAGAAACACCTCTCTACCAATGAGACAACTTCCTAAGGCCTCATTCCTTACCACCAACGGGGACCCAAAATCATGAGAACCATACCTCACCTAGCTAATATCTCTCAATAACAAAGTTAAATCCATTACAGTTTTCTCCATTAACTTACTTACAATGTGAGATTTATAAGTATATGATCCTTGGCCCCTAAACCACATGCATTTTTGGCCTTACACACATCCTTCCACTTAACCCAAGAAACCTTTGCTCCTCGTTCGAAGCTCCTCTAGAGAAAATGTCTTTGCATACTAACCAACTTCTTTCAAACCATGAGCGACATCTTCATGAAAGAAAAAAATGAACATTGGGATAAAATTCATCACCAACTTCAACAAAACCACACTGCCTCTTAAACTCACAAATCTATTCCTCCAAAAAAAAAAACTAATCTTTTATATACTAGCTTTACAGAATCTCAAATATGTTTATTCTTCGGGTGTGCACCCACCATAATCTCTAAATAACTGAAAGGGATGGTACCTACCTTACAATGTAAATACTCATCGACCTGCTCTAAAAAAGCCTAATCACATTAACTCTAAACAAACAATTTTTAACAACGTTCACTTAAAGACACAAAACAACCTCAAAACTTCTGAGAACCTCCATAACGATTAACAAATTTTCAATCGACTAGAACCCCACCATCAAAATATCATCTACATATTGGAGTTGAGACACCTTTAATATTCAACTTAAAATCTTCAAAAACACCTTTAAAACATTTTCTACACTTATATAACATCCGATTATTTAAATATAAAAGTCTAATTAATTTCAATTTACTAAATTATTAGTTTAATTTACAGTCAAAATTGTGATTAATTCAATTATATGAATAAACCATTTTTACCACATAAACTAAATAATTTATTTTCTAATTAAATTAACAAAATTCTCATAAATAAGTATATAAAAAATGAGTGTAAATTTATTAAACTGTAAAAAAGTTTAGACATTGATTAACCACAAGACAGTATATATTACTACTCAAATAATGAATTGAACTTATATTTTTACACATAATGCACTAGAGTATCTATCTATGGCTTGTGACTTCTCATGAACTTGTACCTGTAAAACCACTGTGACCTAAACCACAGATATTGATCACTCGGTCTTTTTAGGAGAAGGACGGTGCATCAACGGTCCCCACTCTCCAACATTTCGGGTCCCACACCTGACATCCTCAGAGGTATCACGGACGGTCCTATCACTTTGCATAGGGAACCCCTCCACTGATGGACCCCACATCTCATCTCATATACAATCGCATCACATCACTGTTCGTTCGTCTCTCTCAACTCTCATCTCACCCTTCATTTAATCTATCCTTTGCTCAAAAAAGCACTTTTTTTCTTCCCTCTAATTATAGCTTAATCATTCTTCACCTGATCAAAGAATCTAATAAAGGTAAATCGCTTTTTCTGTTACTCTTCTTTTTGTTATTTTTCTCTTTTTTTTACCTTCATTTCCAATCACTCTGCATGCACCACTTCAACTTTTATATATATGAATCTATTTTCACTATATCTAATAGTCTACTACTAGTAATAGTACTAGATATTATTCTCGAGATTTTATTAAGTATTAAGCTATTTTTTTTTTTTAACTTTAATATCTCTCTTTTCCAATTTAAATGTTTTCATATATATTAAACTATAAAAATGAAATACTGTAAATTATTTTTACACTATCAATCTGACGATCGTAAATTCTGTCATATTATATTAATATTTTTTTAAAAGTTAATGATTTAATGTTTTGTTGATTTTTTATTAAATTGCCGTGTATGAAAAACTATTTTATACTGTCAGAATATATAAATTAAATCCTTAAACTATTCAATTTTTAAATAAATAAAAAAAATTAGTTAAAATAATTAGCAATTGCTCCCAAATTTAATAGAGGCAATATTTTTTTTTTAGTTTTCATGGGGATTTGACATTTCATGCCAATTTTTCTACATATTATTTTATGAAAACAAAACATAACTTTTTTTTTAGAAAAATCTGAAAGAAACTTCAAATGTACCAAAAAAACCGAAAAAAAAGCATTTAAAATTTTTTTTAAAAAAACATAGGTGCCAATTCAACTGGTGTACTCTATTAAACTTAGGAGCAAGCACCAATTACTTTAACCGACACTTTTTTTCTTACAAAGTTGTGTAATTTGGAAAATTGATTAGTTTGAAATTTAAGTTAGTGAAGAGAAGAATTGGGTGAAAAATTCGTATTAAATTTATTTGAAAAGGTATAGTAGTACTATAGCCTTTTGAAGAAGAAAAATTAAATCAGCTTTTTAAGTGAATTAATAATTGAAGTTTGTGCTGAAATAATATTGTTATTATTCTACAAGACATAACACATTCAAATATCAAGCAAAACAAAAAGGAAAAACAAAGGCACAAACACAAGACACACTATTCCACAACATTGTGCGTGTGACTTGTGTCTGTTTTGTGTGTCGTGTATGACTAAGAGAGAGAGAAAGAGAGAGAATGTGTGAAATGTGTTTGTGGTGGTCCATCTAAATATATGGCTCACTTTCTTTGAAGATACAAGCAAATAATAAGATGAGAAAGAGACTACTCTAAATAACAAGAGAGAGAAAGTCAAGAGAGAGAAAGCCAAGAGAGAGAGAGAGAGAATAGTAGTGTTGTATAGATATATAGCTATGCTTTTGGTTTTATCTTGAGAGAAATGAAAATCATCAAACAAACAAGAAAGTAGGTATCACACAAGTTGGAACTTGTTTACATTACTATATAGTTTTTCTTTTTCAAGCTTTAAATATTTTTGGTTTCATTCAAGTTTCGTTTATGGCTTTTTCTTGTCTTTTGGCAGAACGATACACTCTCTTTAAAGAATTTGGGTACCATCCAAAAGAATTTATGTTCACTTTCTTGGCTTTTGCTACTCCTAAACCATTGTTTTCTTCCTTGTACTGACTGAAACTAATAAAAACCTTTCAAACTTTGTGCTTTTGCTCTTCCTTGCTACCTTCCACCACAACCCATTACTATATAGCCTCTTTTCACTTTTTTTCCAAATATGCAAATGATTCCCAATGACCCTTTTTCACTATCCACTTCACTTGGTGCCTTTACTCAAGAACAAAACACAAACCCTAACCCTAAACCTAATACTCCTCCTGTTCCCAAGAAGAAGCGAAATCTTCCCGGAACACCAGGTATATAGATACTTTCTGCTTCCTGCATGCTTGGATCCTCTGTATCTGTGTTGTGTTGTATTATACTTTACTGTACTATACAACAACTACAGAGGATCCAAGAACACCAAATATATTGTTTCTACTTTCTGCATGCTTGGATCCTCTGCACCTGTGTTCTATAGTACTTTACTGTATTATACAACAACCGCAGAGGATCCAAGTGCATGTTTATAGTTTATAAGTATATCTTTCTCTATAGTTTTCAATTTTGTTATAGATTTTTATTTCACTAAACAGATCCAGATGCCGAGGTCATTGCGCTTTCGCCAAAGACACTCATGGCGACAAACAGATTCATCTGTGAAATATGCAACAAAGGTTTTCAAAGAGATCAAAATCTTCAACTTCACAGAAGAGGTCACAACCTTCCATGGAAGCTTCGACAGAGATCAAACAAAGATGTTATCAAGAAGAAAGTTTACATCTGTCCAGAGAAGAGTTGCGTCCACCATGATCCTTCTAGAGCTCTTGGTGACCTCACTGGGATAAAAAAGCACTTCAGTAGAAAGCACGGTGAGAAGAAGTGGAAATGTGAAAAATGTTCCAAGAAATATGCAGTCCAATCTGATTGGAAAGCTCACACAAAAACATGCGGTACAAGAGAATACAAATGTGACTGTGGCACCCTCTTCTCAAGGTATAATAATAAATACTATATCTGTCTCTCTCTTTTTATTCACCAATCTTTTGTTTCTGTGTTAAATCAATAAATGCTTCTTTAATTTATATTCATATTCATATTTGTAACATGTACGAGGTTTTTTCAATCATGTATATACCCAGAGTTAGGTTTAGAATTTAATGCTTTCAAGTTTCAACCACATGAAGTAATTTATGTAAATTTTGTTGAAATATGAACAGGAAGGATAGTTTCATTACACATAGAGCTTTCTGTGATGCATTGGCAGAAGAGAGTGCAAGAATAACTTCAGCTACGACTACGAATCTAAATTTCAAGAACGAAGAAAGTGATGGTTCAATGATGGGTTCGCATTCGCATTCGCATTCACATTTACAACATGGTTTATCACATGGAAATGGAATGCTTCAAAATATAAGTGGAATTCCGCATCCACAATTTGGTTCACATGGATTTCATGTAGATTTCAATGGAATTGGAAACAACAACTCTTTGATCATGGAGCAGCAACAAAGGCCAAGTTTATCACTTTGGTTAAACCAAGGGAATCAGATTACTGAAATGGGACAAAGTTCAGGACTTTTCGGTTCTTCGGGTTTATCCGAGATTGTTCAAATGGGAAATGCTGGTATTAATAATAATAATGCCTTGATTGGTTCTTCATCATCAATGTTGTCTAGTTATGGTGTTCCTGCTTCAAATTCAACACCTGCAAATCTTTCATTATCTTCACTTCCAATAGGGAAAAGAGGAGAAAGTTCAACAAGTTCTGTTTATAATTCAGATGGTCAAAATAAGCAATTATCAAAGACTGTTTCTGCTACACCAATGTCAGCTACTGCTCTTCTGCAAAAAGCAGCTCAAATGGGTTCAACTAGAAGCGCTTCTAATAATAATATAAACAACAATGGTTCTATTTTTAGTGCTAGTTTTGGTGTAATGACATCACCTTCTTCTTCAAATAGTAGTTTTGATCAGTTTTTGATGCATGGACAAGAAAGTGAACAAGGAAAAATGAATCTCTTGCATCATGGTGGTTCAAATTCTATGGATCAAGTTCAACATAGTAATTTGACTAGAGATTTTCTTGGTGTGAGTGGAACAAGTGGTGGTCCTCCTCAGTTTCTACCTCAGGAGCTAGCAAAATTTGCTTCTTCCATTCAATTCACAGGAAACCAGTGAAAAGTTGAGGAGGGTTGTTTTGGGAAATTCATCAAAGTTTTTGTGTAGTAGTAGTACTTCTTGTGAGGGGTGAATGTGCTAAGAAGAGGGTGTGTGTGTGGGGACAGAGGGGTCCACACTGCATGTATTTGAAGAATAGTGAAAAACATAAGTCATGCATGTTGTCCTAAATAAATGGTTAATGTTGTTTTATTTTCTGTCTTAACCTTGTTATCGTTTTTACTTTGGCTTCATTTTCTTGAGACAAGTGAAGGGATCGATCAGGTTTTAAATAATGTAAAAGAAGTAGAGATACACCCGGAATTCTTGCATGGGACACCTCTCTTTAGCTATTTTACAATTGTGTCACACCACTTTGTAGCTATCGAAATTCATGCTTAAATTATCTATAGCTATTTTACATTTGTGTCACACCTCTCTGTGTGTTACTTACTGTTAGGTCTCGTGACGATATTGGGCCTGATAAAATACTGGTGCACAAAACAGTGTCAGGCCTAAAGATGTGAAGAGTCTACACTGGTAGAGGGAAACATGCATCAAGTGGGAAGTGTGAATTTGTATGTTTGCACTACATTTAAGTATTATGCATGCATGTCTCTACTATATGGTTTTGTTGCTTATCATTTAAGTTTGGTTTTTTGTTTTAGTTTTATATCATTGAGTTTCTTTTTTAATTGTACATTTTTAGATTGAGTTTTAGATTTAGAAATTTTAGCATGTATAATTCAAATTGTTTGTGTTTGAATATGAGCAATATATTTAAGTTAATTAGTTGAGTTTTTGGATCAAGAACCATATTTGAGATTGGTTCAAGTTATAACATTAATGGAATCTTGAGTCAACTTTAAAAATTGCAAAAATTGAGATTTTAGGTGTGTGATTCGAATCACACACTCTATGAGTCGAATCAGAAGGAACAGAGAGAAATCAAAGACTTTGTGAGTTGAATCACAGATTGTACATGACTCGATTCATGAAACCCTTTGACTCGAATCACAAGTTGCTCATAATCTGAATCATGAATTGACGATTTGCCCTACTTTGCTTAAGTCGAATCACAA